TTTTTTTTTTTTTTTTTTTTTGTGTGTGTGTGTGTGTGTGAGACAAGAATGTTGTATGCAATTGATAATTTTGGAATTGGTTTGGATTTTAAAGAGGATAAGAAGACTGTGTTATTTGATTAAAGTTGAGGGACCAAATGCCTTACCTGCTTGGCAATATAAGAATTTGCATCCAAATATATCCTAGAAATGAAAAAAGAAAAAGAAAAAATAGAAAAGCATTGCTTGTTCAATGGTTTTGTTATCTCTTCAAATTTCTTTCACTATATTTAGAAGGAGTTTCACTGCTTAGATTACATAATTCATGCCGATGATTAAAACTAAATCAATAATAACATGTCATGTGTATTCCACATATACATTTATTGTTTAACCAAGAGACCTAACAAAGTATTTTTACTTCAGTTTGTCGCTTAACCATGGTAAGTTAATGTGGCTAGATATAAACAAATGAGTGTAAAGTTTTCTTTTTCTTTTTTTTTTTATTATGCACATATATTTAGATGAAATAAAAGGGAGAAAAAGGTATATTTCTTGACTTGAAGAAGGATTTATTCACATCTTATGAGATCAGTTTTAGGTTATATTACTCGGACTCTTTAAAAATGCAATACGATGCGTCAGATCCTTCAAAATTAATGTATTTTTAAGGAATTCGATACGACAATATTTTTGGAAATCCCGGAAATATAAGATTTAAGAACAAACACTGATGCTAACACAGTAACACTGTGGTGCCTACACAATTTAGAGAAAAGATGTGCTGATTTGGTGTCCATTGGAGGCATCTTACTTTAGCATCTTTATTAGGTTTATATTATTGGTTGCTAATTTTGTATGCCTTTGACACAAATTACCAACCTTTTCACTTAACAACTTTCTTACGAGGGTGATATTATTTCTGGCTTATGTTGTTGTCACTGATCTATTGTCTATTATTTATTTTCTTCCTATAGAGTGGACCCGAGTGGCCTATTTATACTCATTCCTGTTTCACTTGTGCGTTTACAACATCCATTGTTTCTGACTATGTCGATGAAATGGGACCGCGAAGACAATCCACCACTAGAGCTTGCTTTGCTCTTGCTCCGCTCGCTCCCACCTGTCTTCTTCCCACTATAGTGAAAGATCTTTCACTTCACCATAGCAGGAACCTCGCTAACCTTCTCGGCCAGTTAATCTAACCACATGGATCCCCTCCTGCTTACCCACCCACCGTAAACTCTTACTAACGGACTTGGAATACGAATGAGATCAAAAAGGTCATCATTGGGGCAAACGATGCAATAACTTCGGTTAGAGCAAAGCCCAAAATAGCATAACCAAATAATTGTTTTGCTTCTTAAGACGGAGGATCTTTGGCAAGGGGTTACAAAATTAAAATCATGTATGATTGTTGAACTTGTGATCACTATAATAGTAAAATTATAACATTATTTTTTGTCACATACATGTAACGGAAGTATGGAACTACGTGTGAATTGCTCAAAGGATTACATTCTGTAAATTTCACAGTTAAAAAGGATTTTGTTTGAGGCTTAGAATAGGATATTAAAATTGGAATTTTTACACAAATAGCCGGTCATATTAATTGTTTACTTTTCTAGTCATATATATAGATTAAACATAGATTATATATCATGAAATACATAAATTATAAATATATTGTACATTCACCTGTTATTTTTAGTTTAAGTGGTAGGTTAGGGGGCTATTTACAGGACTGGTCATTAAACAAAACTTTCACTGTTTCGTGGCTACTTTCCCTAATTGTCAAGTTGGGCCTATTGGGCCAATTGGGCTGCGTAGATCCCCTTATAGTCCAATAGGATTTCCTCGCAGAACAATTTTGGACGAGTTCTGCGAATTTAACTGAAATTTATCGTCTCAAATTATTTAGACATATTCAATAAAAATTAAATAATCAACATATATATATATATATATATNTTCTCTCACTTTAGCCAGACTATAATAAATAAAAGAAGAAAAGAAAGACCAAAAAGAAAAGAAAAACAAAGGGACTGACGTTGTAAATTTGCTGATTGCTAAAATAATTAGTGCAACATTTACATACCTCTTAAGTTATATGGTCACATTTTAAAATATGAAATACAGTCAGATCTCTCTATAACAACAACCATATATAACAATACTTCACTATAAAAATTAAACTTTTTCGGAACCAAATTTCATGTTATGTTATAATATATGTTCTATATAATAGCACTTCGCTATAACATCCAAAAATATTCGGAACAAACGAGGTTGTTATAGAGAGGTTTGACTGTATATGTTAAAATTTGAAGGTGCAGTTTTTCTGATAAATAAATTCTTGAAAGGGGAAAAATAACAATCCCAAAAGAAGCAAAAAACTAGGTAATTTCTTTTATTTGTTCAAGCTTTGATGTTTAATTACCTGATACTGGTGAGAAATATTAAGTATTCTATAAAATTAATCGAGTACGCACAAGTTACATAAATAACCAACTTAAAACTTGACTGGTAATTTAACAATAATACTACACCACTTATACAATTTTTCTTTTAACAATTAATAAGAGAGATATTCCGGGGTCATGAGCTTGCTAGAGATCATGCTACGCTTTTAGCTTAACGATAATTTATTGAATTATCTAGGTTATTGATTATGGGGTTAATAATACCCATAAGAATCTGTCAATTTCTTATGACGAATACTATAATTATAAAAATAAAACAATAGGTGAAGATAGAAAGCTACAGTAAAATATCTAATATCTTCCAAAAGGTGTTGAGAAGGATGGGTGGAGTAGAGGCATAAAATTATCCTCCATAATTATGTGGGGACTATAAATCTGACTATTATTGTGATGGGGAAGTTGATATGTGGCTATATAGGGAAAGAAATTACTCACACTTGAAATTACAATAAATTAAATTAATTTAATTATGAATGAACTATATTTCTTTCTTGATATGGATTCTTATTATAAAATTTAAAATAATGTATATAAATATTTAAAATATGTTATTTGTACGCACTTAAAACCATGTGATGACATGATATTCACACGAACTTTAAATGCAAGTACAAAAACAATCATATGAAAAATCACTCACATAACACATTCGACTCCATTTCTACATGATTGACACTTTAATGGGAGTCTTGAAACAAATGTAAGGTTGTTTTTGTGTGATTTATAGATTAGGAGTTCGAACTATGGAATTAATCATTGAATGTTTGTATTATGTATCACAAGTTCGAGTTGTGAAATCAGCCATTAATGTTTGCATCACGGTAAGCTGCTTATATTGCCCCCTTGGGATACGGTCCTTCCCCGGATCTTGCGTGAACCCGTGATCCTTCGTGCATCGGGCTACCCTTTTTCTAAAGGATCGACACTAGAAGGGGGAATTTTGGAGTAAAGGTAAACTTATCTCCGTGTGATCTATAGGTAACAGGTTCGAGCCCTGAAATCAACCACTAATGCTTGTATCATGGTAGACTGCCTACATCATACCCCCTTGGAGTGAGGCCCTTTCCTAGACCCTGCGTGAACGCGAGATGCTTCATGCATCGGACTTCGTTTTTTCGAAAGGATTGACACTTGAAAGGAGAACCTTAGAGCAAAGTTAAAATTATCTCCATGTGACCTATATGTCACAAGTTGTAGCCGTAAAATCAGCCACCGATGCTTATATCACGATGACCTGCCTACATCACATCCCTAGAATATGTCACTTCTCTGGACCCTACGTGAACATGTGATGCTTCGTGCGTCGTAATAACTTTTTCTGAAGGATTGACACTATTTTGATTTGTGAAATCAGCCATTGATGCTTGCATCACGGTAAACTGCTTATATTGCCCACTTGGGATGCGGTCCTTCCCCGGACCCTGCGTGAACCCGTGATCCTTCGTGCATCGGGCTACCCTTTTTCTAAAGGATCGACATTAGAAGGGGGAATTTTGGAGTAAAGGTAAACTTATTTCCGTGTGACCTATAGGTAACAGGTTCGAGCCTTGAAATCAACCACTGATGCTTGTATCACGGTAGGCTGCCTACATCACACCCCCTTGGAGTGAGGCTCTTTCCTAGATCCTGCGTGAATGCGGGATGCTTCGTGCATCGGACTTCGTTTTTTCTAAAGGATTGACACTTGAAAGGGGAACCTTAGAGCAAAGATAAAATTATCTCCATGTGACCTATATGTCACAAGTTGTAGCCGTAAAATCAGCCACCGATGCT